AAAATTTAATAATAAAAAAACTTTTTTATAAACATTTATTATAAATATTATAAATATTATAAATATTATAATCTTATAATATTCTATCTTCTATCTTCTACCTCTTCTCTCCCTCCCTCCCCTCCCTCCCCTCCTCCCCTCCCTCCCCTCCCTCCCCTCCTCCCCTCCCTCCCTCCCTCCCCTCCCTCCCCTCCCTCCCTCCTCCCCTCCCTCCCTCCCCTCCCTCCCCTCCCCTCCCTCCCCTCCCTCCCCTCCTCCTCCTCCCCTCCCTCCCCTCTCCCCTCCCTCCCTCCCTCCCCTCCCTCCCCTCCCTCCCCTCCCTCCCCTCCCTCCCCTCCCTCCCCTCCCTCCCCTCCCTCCCCTTTCTTCCTTTTTCTCCTCCTTTTTTCCTTTCTTTCCTCTCCCTCCTCCCTTTTCTTTTCCCTTCCCCCCTTCCTCTCCCCCCTTCCTCCCCGTCTCCCTTCCCCCCGTTTCTCCTCTTCTCTTCTTTTCCTTTCTTCCCCTCCTTTCTTCCCTTTCCCTTTCCTTTCCCCTCCCTTTCTTCTTTCTCTTCCCTCCCTCCCCCCCTTTTCTCCCCCCTTCCTCCCCCCCTCCCCCCTCCTTCCTCCCTTTCCGTCCGTCCTTCCTCCCCGTCTCCCTTCCCCCGTTTCTCTTCTCTCTTCTTTTCCTTTCTTCCCCTGCTTTCTTCCTTTTTCCCTCCTCCCTTTTCTTTTTCCCCCTCCCTCCTCCCTCTCCTCTCCTCTCCCCCCCTTTCTCTTTTTCCCCCCTTTCTCTCCTCCTTTCCCCTTCTCTCTCCCTTTTCCCCTCTCCCGTTTCTTTTTCTCGCTTTTTTCATTAGTTATATCATCTTCGCTTATCGAATTTTAAAAAAAATATGGTTATACGTGGGGGTGGGTATAATGACAAATTTGGGTTTCTTTAATGTGTTCCCTCTGCACCTCCGTAACCAGCTTAATTTTCGCTAATCGTTTATGTATATCAAGACACTACCTGTGCTCCCTTACTTTGCTTCGCTTCACCCCCACCCCTAGACTCTAATACTACATGTGCACATAAAAAAAAAAAAAAAGATACACAGCGATACAAATTCAGATGACCCCTCTATGTATATGGTACATTTGAAGAGCCGCTACTTACCTGGGGGTTTCCATAGCGACGCGGGTAGATGCTATCCTTAGATTTCAGCACATTCACAATATAATGAGGCAACTCTACCATGTACTATCTCTTCTCCTTATCACACCCAGGTTCTTTGAATGGACAATATTACGCCCAAAATTCCAAGTCGCAACGACTTTCAAGCAAGCTTGTCGCTAGTTACATGTTTAGTTCCCTTCCCTTCCCGCTTCAGCGCCGCCACATTCTCCGACACCAGTCATGGCAACCGAAAATCCAAACTCGCAACATGACGGTCTGCGTGTTATTCACGTAGCTCTCTTTCGCATGGCCACTAGGTCCTCAGCCGAAGCTTATAGGATCCTTGGATACAAAACCCACCACGGCTTGGATGATGTCTTCGGCATGCCCTGGCCTCTTCTCGAGAAGGCGGCAGAGGCCACCTGGCCGACCGTACCCGGAGCACGCCCAAGACCTCCGTTGACAAGATCCGACTGGGATGAGCTCTGGGGGTCCCAGTATGACATAGCGACTGATATGGCATCGCCGTTTGCGGACCAGCTCATTCAAGCATACCCAGACGCAAAAGTTGTCATCGTCCAGCGAGACTTCGAATCCTGGTGGCCTAGCTACAGGTCCGAGCTACTAGATACCTTATTTTCTCCTCTAGCACGAGTCTCTGTTTTTCTCTTGGAGCATGTCATGGGCATACGATCGGGCCCCACCATGCAGAAGGTCCATTTTGGCTTTTTCGGCGCCAAGGATAGGGCCGGTGTGGAAGCTAACGCGCGCGTGGCCTACGACGCCTATTACAAGAGAATAAGGGAGATGGTCCCCCTCGAGAGACGATTGGAATACAGTATGGGGGATGGTTGGGAGCCGCTATGCGCTTTTCTGGGGAAAGAGGTTCCTGATGTGCCTTTCCCGCGCTTGAACGAGCGGAAGTCTCACAGAGCAAGTGATACTAAGAGGAAATTAACGATAGCATTGGCTACGGTGCGAAAGGCAGGAATGTTCCTACTCCCTGTTACGATACTCGGAGCTGCGCTATGGTATTCCGGAACAAGTGTAAACTATCTCGGGCTTTGAGGCTTTGCACTAATGGATATTACGGCTTGGCACATCGATGTCAAATAGTTCTATCATACCTCTTTTGTTAGAGACAACCAGCCAGTATGGCTATCAACTTCCTCGCAAGGCTGATGGAACAGGCTGATCCATGCCACTCTTTTAACCTAGGTAGCCTCTGAATACAACCATTACTATCTAAATTATAGGCGTCAACATCAAGTTCAGCTACACTAATTATAGAGAGTATGGTGTTGTTTGTTGCCGTTATAATATCATTTGACTGGTAAGATCTATATGCCATGCCTATCAACCTCTCATACGAACCATGGCTATTCAAGCCGAGCATATCTTAGGTAAGTACCTGACTCACATAATGTAGTACTTAAGTACCTAGGAGTGCATTTGCTTCAAGGAACTAATATAAATACTTAGGTGGGTTCAAATCTTTTTATAAGCAACTATTGTTTACCTAGGTAGTTACCCCTATTTCAGTTTAGGTATTTGTTTAATGTTATGATACTATACAATGACAATAGGAATTAATACTAGGTAGGTTACGGGATGTTATCTTTGTGGGCAACATAAAAACCTGAAGTTTATGTACGTCCGGGTGCGCTCCTATCTCACTCATAGCTTGTCCTTCACATCTATCCAACGACTAATTTCCAAGAAATATGATTTAAAAATTTTGAGTTAAAGGCTGATGCCATGAGCTAGATGGTCGAGACGTCGTGAACTTAAACAGAGGTATATCATTATCTGGGTCTACCACTGGTGTGGTATATTAATATTACAATTGTATCCGTTTTATAGAAAACACTCGTACATATTGCTAAATACTTAAGTGGTAGCACTCTTGCATAATGCAAAAGCTTACATCTTTACGCCTGATTTATAACAGATGAGCTACCTAGGTAGGTATTAATTATACGATTCTATTTATCTAAACCTTTGAGTCTTTTAAACAAGCCCCACGAGGTATATGCATGTCTATTCCCATTCCGTTAAGTACCTTATAATCTAGCATTCAAATGTACCCTACCTTACGCCTACCAGAACCGCTGACCTCTTTGAGTAAGGTATAAGGTAGAATAGAAAACATATTAAAAAAATTGAAAAGTACAGATATTTGAGATCTACATTCAAGGCCTTCTTAAAAACAACCGCCGGCAACAACAGCTTATTAAAGCTTTGTTTTCAATCTCTACCTAGTTTATAGCTTCAGCATTTTTCATAACTACACGCCGCAGTACCAAACAGAGCAAGCAAAATAATAAACACCCGATGCACGAGCCTTATAAGGTTAGGTACCTAGGTACGCAGCGCAGCATACATGTAAATTCCAACGAGCAAGTAAACCTCATATACCGTAGCAACAAAAGCACTGTTAATCTATTCCGCCATCTACTACAATTTAGCTCAACTGATCATCTCTCAAATTTACCATCTACCATCTATTTATTGGATATACTTCACCATATATATACATTCGCATCTATCTCGGGATAATGTTTGAGCTATTTAGCAACTTCGCAACTACTATACTGACCATTTTGTCATTTTGACCAACTTTTCTTTTCTTTTTTTCGTCTTTATCTCAAGCCTATTTTTCTTTTTCGACTTTATCTATCTATAAATAGTTCGCCATTCTACTTCTTGGCTCAACTACTACCTAACTACCACTTATAGTTATGTATAAAAATGCTTACCTAACTTTGAGCCTCATTGCTGGGCATAAGCACCCATTTTTACTTCAACCTCGTCACAGATGCCGCGATACCCGGTACCGCCGTCCACTCCATTTAACTACCTCCTAATGCCCCTACTGGTAGCAAACATACCTAAATCATAAAATAAATAAATAAATGCAAAGCAACATGACCTATCATTTAAATACTTACTTACCTAACCTACCTACCTACCTTAAATCACCCCAACCTCGGACCCCCATCCGGCACCTCAACCCATCCTGTGCGACGAACCCCACCCCCCCGGAGCCGCATCAAGGGCCTATTTGCTGTAAGAGAACACAACAAACGCTCTTATCTACCTACAGCGATAGGCGTCTCGACTTGCTTTATCCTTGCATATGTTCGCCGGGTCCTTACATGACGAATTTTCCATCTATCATGTCTCTCAACCTATGGACCTAACTTATATAACCCGGACGCGGCGCCGGGAATTATTACTCAAGACCTTCCTATTCGTAATCCATAACCTATAAATTCTCCTCGCTTAGACCTCCCCTTTCTTAAACCTCCAATCATGCCACCGACGCCCCCTACATAAATCCACCCCTGCGAGCGAACGCAACAAGGTTTAGGAATGGGGTCCGACAGCTCGGGACGCGCGTACCACCAACATTTAAATACTTTATATACTCTTCTTTTCACCGAGCGGGATTTTTAAAAAAAGGGCTACTGAAAAACACACATTTCTTACAATGTTATTTTACTTATTTAATCCGCGGCGTGACCAAGATGACCTAACCTATCTCCTAGGTAGGTAGTCAGTCATCTATATACAAGAGGAACGCATGCATGCGAAGATTTCACGATATTTCTACGCCTTCCCGTCCTCTCATGAGACCTCCCGTATGTATAAAACTCCCAAATGCAGCGCATCATCAATTCAATTCCCATTTACGACGACCAGCTCCCCTTAAAACGTCTCATAGTACAGTATGGAACAGGCCGGTCTCGTTTCGTATGCAAGAACCCAGGAACGCCACGCAAAATGTCATGGAACATCAGGTGAGGAAATATTACCACCGCTAGATTTGACCTTTTTTCGATTCCTCGTTGAAACTTCTACTACCGTCCCATACCACCCTCGGCTTTGAAGTCCGGACACATCAGATCCCACGGCTTCTTCTGGTTTTTTGCGGTGCAGACCGCTTCGTTCGCGAATGCTCGCCATCGATCTAGAAGATCGCTCTTATTGATACCATCCTTCTGGGTAAAGAAGCTAAAATGGCCTACTACGGAGCGGGTGTCGATTACGAATGGCCGTCCAATGCGTCTAGGAATATCCGCAGTGATATCTTGCTCGTCATCGTCGGCAATGGGTAGTTGATCCCTGATATCGGAACCCCATACGGCGCAGAAGTTCAAGTTGTATCGGTTGTACCCGGTATCATATGTCTGCTCACCACCGGGGCCGTCCCCGTTAGGGAAGACTACTGCGGAAGCATTGGGTCCCAAAGCGCTTTCCGGGTATCGGATATTTCGGCCGAAGAAATAGCGTTGCATCTTATTCTGCTCAAGATTGTACAAGAGAGAATATTGTTGCTGCGCGCCGATAGCCCACGACTTCCACGCCAAACCGAATGCAATTGGGTCGGAACCACGGTTCTGGTCGTATTTTCCCATGGGTGTTTTCAGTAGGTCATAGTGGTCGTCAGATATAAGGAGCCAAGGGTGGCCGCGGTACGACGGTTCCATGTCCATGATCTTATATTCGTCCACCAGTTGGTCTTTAGGATATTTCTTCTTTTCGGAAGCGCGCCACGTCTCCGCAGCATGAAACGAAGGCTTGCTGCTCGGGTCCGGGAGAAAGGGGTGGATCGCACCGTAGTGATATTGCTCCATTCCCGTGACGGGACTGTTAACTAGGTTTGACGAGATGGCATACGGATGAGGTAGGGCAATGCGAGTATGGACAAGTTGAGGGATGGCGTCGGGGTGGATATAAACCTGCATAATTAGGTCAGTCAACAAACTCGTCTCAGTCTCCTGATACCATCCAGCTGGATGGAAGGGTTTACTCACAATATCGTCATCTATTTTGACATAGATAGTTTTGTCCTCGACGGCGTAAGTCCACATGCACTTATATTTTTCGCCTTCACATTTTCCCTTGCCGACAATCTTATAACCGGGAGTCTTTTGGACAAGATCTTCTATCCAGCTAACATCGTCTTTTTCCTTGGTGTGGGCCATAAACCACACCTCGTCAAAGTAGCCGCCATTCGATGCCAGATTCTGCTGGAGGTAACAATCCAAGAGGTCCACATATCTCTTACGGCCATAAAAGACCATACCGATGACTTTGATACCCGCTGGTTTTTTTCCATCCACCTTTAGGAGCAATGCTATCTATCTTGATCTTGTTGGCTCGGCTAGCTCCCTTGGGTTCGTATCGGCCATCTTCGCCCACGGGCCATGTGGTGCAATATTTGTCGTTGGCCTCGAGTTTTGGTGGTTTGTATGCAGGTGTTGAACTCTCGGTGGGCTTTGCGGCTTTTGTAGAGGATGCGATAGTACTTGTTGGGGTTCCGGGAGACACGTCGACGTCTGTCTGATGCTGGGTAGGTATTGTCGGGGAATAGGGGTTAAAGATGAACAGCGTGATGAGTAAGGATACGACAATGGCGAAGACGTAGTATTTAGGGCTGAATTTGCGACAAGGCGCCCAGATAGGTAACGTGAACGACTGGATACGGCGCCATAAAGGATTCTGTTCTATCCGACGTCTACGGCGTGATGACTGATTTTGGTGACTGTTTTCGGGTTCGTCGTAGTCAAATTCTTCGCTCGATGGTGACTGACTCTCCTTAGAAAGTAGCTGAGCTTGGGACTCGACATCCTCTTCTCGTTGCTTCATTTTGATCTTGCGACTCGTGCAAAACGCGCTCAAGAATATCGAGATATTCGTATTGCCAAGATAAAATGTTGATAGGATTATGCACCTCGATCCTATAAGTCTACAGGTTTATGTAGATGTGATAGGATACTTAACGCCGATACATATAGGCGCTTCTATCAAAGTCAAGTCCACAACGACGACTGCGGCGACAATGATGTTGACGAAGGGGTCATATTATGGAAAAGGAAATTAAAAAAACGATAGACTAGGGTATGAAGGAAAGGGGAGGGGAGAGAGAAAAGAAAAGATGGCGACAATTCAGGCAGTTAATAATTATTTTCCGTTATTAGAATGCGTAGGACTTCGTTGGCGCAATCTACACGGTACCTAAGCTGCTATGGTAAAAGATATTCCTTCGTATGCATGGGCTGGTTATGGACTTTGCATGGGCAAAATACAAAATGGGCGAAAGGTTGAGGTGGCTTAGGCAGTTTACGGGATACTACTTTACGAAGTGTTGCTAAGTGTTGCTTAGCTGCTTCTAAAGTAAATTTATTTAAGTTAGGGGATCCTTAAGCAGCTCACAGTTCTTTCCTTTCCCACGAGTAACTCTAACCACACAGTAAAATTCTCCTAAAAAAACAGCAAAATCATTTTCACGTGAGATACGCCACTACGAGCCACCACACGCCACCACGCACGGCCATTTGAAAAGAATGGCCCGTTTACCTAACCCCATGTATATATTCCACTTGCATTGTAACCATAAATATTTTAAACAAAAAAATAAATTTTTTAATATTATTTTTTAAAGTTTAATATAAAATAAAATAAAATATATAAATTATTTTTAAAAAAATTAAAATATTTAAAATTGTTTTATTTTTTTTATTTTTTTTATTTTTTTTACATTTTTTTTATTTATTAATTTTTCAAAAATACTAATCATCATACTCCTACCTCCCCCCTCACTCCCTCCCCTCTTCTATCCTCTCTTCCTCCCTTTTTTTTCTTTTTTTCTTTTTTTTTTCTTTTTCTTTCTTTTTCTTTATTTTTTTTCTTTTTTTCTTTTTTTCTTTCTTTTTCTTTCTTTTTCTTTTTTTTTCTTTTTTTTCTTTCTTTTTCTTTCTTTTTCTTTCTTTTTTCTTCTCTCCTCTCCTCTCCCTCTCCCTCTCTTCCCTTTCTTTCCCCTTTTTCCCCTTTTCTCTCTTTTCTGTCTTCTTTTTTTCTTCTTTTCTTTCTGTTTTCTTTTCTTTTTTTTCTCTTTTTTTTCCCTTTTCCCCCCCTTCCCCTTCTGCCCCCTCTCTTTGGTTACCCTGCAGTGGAGCATCGCATGGGGTTAAGTAAACCAGCCATTTTTTAAATGGCCGTGCATGGTGGTTTGTGGTGGCTTGTGGTGGCTTATAGTGGCTTTTCTCACGTGATTGATTTTGCTGTTTTTTTAGGAG